GGCATTCATTGCGTCCGGCGGTCCTCCTCCAGGGAGGCCGCCGATGTATCATTGGTAACGTTTTCCTTAGCGAGCTTTGCACGTTTGGAGCTTGACGTGCTGCTAGTCTAAATCGCTATTTATGTCCCTTCACTTTCATTGCTGGATCATTGCTGGAATATTGGCACAGCACTTGCATCACGGCATTGGGAATTTTGCGACGACCATAGAAATTATGCGGAGTATTCCAGGGAGAATGTCGACCATCCCCTCGTCAGCAAAGGATTTGAACGTTGTGGTATGTATTGTTAGCCAAATAAACCAAATCAGCTACATGTGGGATTGCGTGCGTTCACGGGTTGTTAGTGCCTGCGTTTGTGTCGCGTGCGTGTGTGTTAAGTACGTGCAGTCTAGCTAGCTACAAGGAGGCACGGCGTTCATCGCCGTGGGTGTTCATCGCCGTGAGCCAAATGAATACGGATAAAGAAAAAGGCCCCGGCGTTCATCGCCGTGGGTGTTCGGCACCCATCAAAACTCGTCTTCGCGTGTTCTTGTGATTGTAGGCCGATCCTCGGTTCCAACAGTCACAATCTCTTATATAGGTGCATGATACGCTCTCTCCCTCCCAAGATTCTCGCTGTCGCGCTCTCTCTCTTGGGACGCATCATCTTTTCTCCTCACCTTTCACCTCTCTCTTCCTCCCTTCACAACCTCTCTCTCTCTCTTCATCTTTTACTTAGGCCAACTCCAGCGCACGACCCCATACCGTCCGGTCTTGTCCGTTTGGGGCAAAACGGACAAACCCCACAGCCCAGCGCAAGACGTTCTGGACCATCTTGTCCGTTTTGTGTCCGGCCCGACCCATTTCCAGCGCAAACATGCGTCCGGTTTGGGTCCAGGCAGACAACGAACGGACACATCTCTCGACCGCATCGGGGCCACGTGGCAAGCGGCCACCTACCAACCACCGACCAAATTAACTGCGCACGCGCGGTCGACCCCACCTGTCAGCCGCCCAGGGGAGCGGTGGCCGTGCTTTTTAATGGGAAACCATCGACCGGTCACAGTCCACGCTCCTACCTAGTTCAATCTCGTTACCAGAAAGTCTCTTTACTCACTCCATAAGACAAGATCCGGTGACTAAACTCATTAGTCACATGAACTCCTCCTCGAAATTACGCAACACCGGCCACCTGGACGCCGGCACAAGCCACCAGCCCCCCTTCCGTGCGTGACGCTATATGTCCGTCATGGGTGCCTCATCATCCTAACCACAATACAACACCAAGTCTAAACGCAACCCAACTTGTACAAAATATTCGACACAAACTCAACAGAAGGTCCAGCTCCCTGGAGAATGTGCAGGCTTCTTCTTCAACAGGGTAAGGCTGAGAAGACTTGCGTTGATTAAATTAATGCAGTAGACTCGTGGATGCTTACACTGCATTGCTGATGCATCGAGAACGTCTGCAGCAAGCTATTTCATGAAGATCAACGAACGGAAAGGGCATAGAAAATGGATGGTATCGTCAGCCAACAAGACCATATCATGAACTCTAGAGCGCAGCCACAAAGTTGTTTGCTAAAAAAATACTGTCTAAACTGAACTTTGATGAGCTTAACACCTGTCAAATTTGACCACATACTATAGAAATATTATATAACTAGATGACTCACCTAGCTGCATATAGAAGTTTTTTGAATTGTTTGAATTGCCTTGTTGGTGCACGATCTACGTCCTAGGAGGAGGTCTTCAAAAGTATTGCTCAGTGCATGGAACCGCTTGGCATCGGTTTTAGGAAGTTTCAAGAACCTTTTGCCCGATTTTGGAAGATTCCTAAAGTTTCTTTCTTTTGTTTGTCTACTACACTGGGTTTTTCCTTCTTTTCTCCTTTTCCCATCTTCTTTTTAATTCGTGAATATTTTGCAAATTCACGAACATTTTTTGAATTCATGGACACTTAGTTTCATTTACAAACATTTTTAAAATCGCAAACACTTTTAAACTTTTGTAACATTTTTTGAATTTGCGATCATGTTTTGAATTCATGAACATTTTATAACTTTGCTACTCCCTCTGGTCTATATTAATTGACGTTGCTCTAATACAAAGTTTTATGGATTTTTTTATGTTTTTTCTTTTTGTTTTATTTTTTCTCCTCCACTTTTTCTTATGTTTTCCTTTTCTTTTTCCATTTTTTATTTACTTCTTTTTTTTTCTTCCCGGTCTTTTCTTCAAATACTTGTTCAACATTTTTCAAACGCTTGTTCAATAATTTTAATACTTATTCAACATTTTCAAATATTTGTTCAACAGTTTTCATATACTCATTTAACATTTTTTTAATACCTATTCAACATTTTTCAAATGATTGTTCAGCATTTTCAATACTTATACAACATTTTTCGAATTTTTGTTCAAAATTTTCAAATACTTATTTAACATTTTTCATATAGTCGTTCAACATTTTTTACTTTTTTAGTATCTATTCAACATTTTTTCAATACTTGCTCAACATTTTTAAACATTATTCAACATTTTCAAATACTTGTTCAACATTTTTAAATGTGTTTTGAAGAGTGTTTTTTGTATAGAATTTCTAAAATTATAAGAAAAAATAGAAAAATAATGTAAAAATTGAAAACAGAAAACAGAAACAAAAAAATAGGCCGTGGCTCCCGCGGCTGGGCCGGCCCATGTAGTGCACCCTGAGAATCGAGCAGATCCGCTCGTCTCGTTGAACGCGAGAAATAGGGGTTGCCCAGCACACGCAAATCCATTGTTGGGATCCCTTGGAAAATAAGTGTTTGACCCAGTCGCAACTGCGTTTTGTACACCCATGATGGTAACATTCTTTGTTGACCAAGATATGGTCGACATTCTGCGTGGAAAACTCTTCATGATTTTCAATGTCATTGCCAATTTG